CTGGCGTTTTCCTGGCATGGTCCATACCATGTTGTCGGCTTGGTCCGGGAGAACGCCTACAAGATCGCGATCCTGGCTCATCCGAACAAGATTGTTACGATAAACGTGAACCGCTTGAAGCGCTTTCGGGGCCGCTGGAGTCGACCGTTCGTGGACGAGGTACCGAGCGATGTCGGAGGAGACGACTCCGAGGAAGGAACGGGTCCTCTGGACATGAATGACCTAGCTTCGTGGAACGCCTATCAATTGGCGGGGAGAAAACAGCCTTCGGTGGAGTGTCGTCGCCCATTGTGGACATTGTGGCTAAGAGAGTCGAGAAGCGTGAACTACAGTACCTATTACTTACGGCTACGTACGAGACGTTCTGGGTGGCTCGAGAGGCGTTAGTGCCTGAGTTTGGAGCGCTAATCAGAGCGTTTGAGGATGCAGATCGCAAGAAGCGAGGTCTGCCGGGGTTATGTCGGAACGCCGGTGGTGGACGCCAACGCGGATGTGGACGACGAAGAGATGATGTTCTAGCTTGCCCGGGGGCTAGCTGGAACAGGCGTAGCATAAATGGCTATGCTGAGGGGCGTGTTTAGGGACTTGCGAGTTCCATAACACGTAATTGCGTGCATATTGGGAAGACTTCGTGTCGTATCCTTGCGGAGTACTTTAGAGTTGGTGATTTTGGAACGAGGTGGGACTCGCCTCTTTGGAACAGTGTCGGGCTGATCGTTAAAGGCGGACGGAACCTACGGAAATGAAACGCGTTGTCGGCGTGCCAAAAGAGGATACGACTAAAAGGGAGCCTGAAGAGTAACTGCGAGAAGAAAGATGAGGAACTGAGTGGAACGATGAGGTTAAACGGAGTTGGCTGATCAAAAACAGAGAGTACCTGCGGGTACCCATAGGCGTCCACCTTCGCAGTGTCCAGGGCGTTCTCGAACGTCGCCTCGTATCTGGCCTTATCCTTGTCGTTGAGGACAGCGAAGTCCTCGGCGATAGGGCCTTGGGGTTGACGACCTCCGCGTGGGGACTTGCCTGGCTGGCCTCTTGAGTCAGAACATTTCCGTGCGTTTCTCCAGCTTCTCGAGGAACGCGTAGAAGCCCCCATGTTTTGACACAGAGGCTTGTAAAGGACAGGCGAGCGAGAACCGCTCGCATTTTCAGCTTGCGACGATTGGACTGGGCTGAACTTGATTCGAGTGGGACATGGAACGCCCACTTCCAGAAAGCACGCCGGTGGGTCATACAGAACCGCCGGTGGGCACGATGGACGTCTCGAACTTCAGCTGGGCCGTACCAGAGGGGCTGACCTGTCATATCGTACGCCAGGCACCAGGGCGTCCTGCCGGCTTCGTCTGCGTTGTGAAGGGCAATAGCGATCGCTTGAGAAATTTGGAGAATGTGAGACGGATGGAAATGGACCAATCAGCTGCGAGGGGTCGCCTACTTCAGGTGCGCAACCAGAACCATCATTTTGACTCGAACCATCATGTTGACTCGAACCACCATTTGACTCGACCCATAATTCTGCAGGCACCGTCATTCTGGATCGATAAGGTGCAATCATTGCGATACTTGATAGCCGATCTAGTCCGATATGGTGCAATCATTCCGATAAACCCGGCTCCAAGTGGTAGTAGATCGACTGATTTGTACCCATTTATGGGTACCACAAAGGACCAGTTTGAGCAATCATGGGACGGGTAGAAGGTAGTGGACCGCTAGGACTTAAAGGAATA